GGAAGTGAACATATTATCAAAGCAGTTCATCCGGCTTGACTCTTGCCACTGCGCCTCTTCCGATGTTTGACCAACCTGTGTGGGACATTTCAGGCGTAGCTGGGAATCAGCCTAACTGCTCTTTAAAGTGTTCTATTCATCCCTACAGAAAAATTGCTGGGTGATCTTTGTCGCTTATCGTGTAACTGACACCCACTGTGTGTGGTAGCTGGAACAAATTAGCTGAGGCACAAGACTGTTTTCGGAAGGGAAATTCTTCTCACACTCTTGGAGAATCCCAGACCAGCGGAACGCTTGTTTTTTCGTCAATCTCTCCGCTATTCGGCGCTTGACAGGTCCTCGTGCACCATTGCAATAACGAATAGCCTTTATGGATTTTCTAGCATCATCCAAGGATACCGATCATGAAGACGTTCAAAGATCGTTTATGGTATCAAAGTCAAACACATCGTATCTCACCCAGGTTCTATTTGTCAGTAAACTGTTGTGTGAGTGTAGGGTTCTTAGCTAGCTCAGATGGATATTACTGGGTTATACTAACTATCCGCAGGTGATCGACTGATGTGCAGTAATGTTTAAATTGTATCATTTAAATATCTCTGCGAGTGACAAAAATGACAGTACAACTAAGCAATGAGCCATGCGTTAAAGTTGTCGGTAGACCCTCAGTTACGTCCTGAAAAAGGTAGCAAATGGGCAAATGTCTAGTAGGCACCAACCCTGCAGTAAATGTTTTTATTAATGGTGTTGCATCTATGGCACAACATATTTAGAAGCAGAGGGGCAGGGAAGAAATCAAAGTTGGAGGCTCTCAAGCAAGTTCATACGTAGGATGCGGACACACTCGTATAGATCTGTAACACCAAATGAAGAAGATTATTTTTCACCAAGAAGCAACACATATCACTACAGCCAGGGTAACCGCTTTGGTTGATCGCATTTTCACGACTACTTGTGTTACCAGAATGAAAAGTCATCCACATTTACATGAGGTATGTATTTGCAGCTATTTGAAGGCATTTTGCAGACATACAACCACACAGGATGAATGCAGTCGAACAAAAGAGCCATTGTTCTGCACTTCTGCTGATTGACTTGTTGAACAGCACAAACGAGGGGCTATTAACACCAAATGTTTTTTTCAATGGCTGATTAGGTGAAGATAGTTGTACTGGAGCAAGTAGTGACGCAGTGTGTCAAAACCGTACATCGCCACACATCCACCAACCTGTGTTTGGAAGACTGAATCCAACACCCCAGAGAATAATGTCACACTAACCCACCAGTCCCGTCAACTGCCATAATGAGCGCCAAACGATCCCTTGCTCTCTGGTTCATTTTTTCATACTGAACAGGTTCCTACTGTTCAAGGTGCAGTTGGAATCACTAACCGGCAACAAAACAGACAAATGAGCTAGCCTGGTTAGTATATACGGATCAATCTGCCATTCTTTGGGTGGACTAGTCTTTAGCCCCTCTCAAAATTCCACACGTTTCTTCTTTCCATTATGGGGATTTATCCAAATAAATTAATATGGCTACATGGCAATGAAGCACCAGTGTTCTTTTCTGCTGTTGCTGTCATTGATGACGACGACCACTATTCCCTAACAGTAGCAGTTCTCCGTTTTGACCTGCTGGTTTCTTTGAAATTTTGTCTGAATAGCCATAGGCGCGATGAGATATCCCCACACATAATTGCGAATCAAGATGAAGATATAGGAAATATTTAATGTTGGAGGAAAATGCCTCGGATTATCAAAATGACCGTCCTCATGAGGCACACTGCACACTGAAAGTAGC